AGTCGTGGCTGCAGACACCTCCGGCTCCATCGCTGCTCCGGGAGTGCAGGAGGGATGCGAGAAACCCATGTTTGTGTTGGATGCGGCTTAGCACCGACGCCAAACCCAATTATTTTGGGTCCGTGACAGCTCAGCTGCTCTGCATCACCTCAGTGACAGCCTGTGGTCACCTGCAGTGACCAACTAACCCCATGGACGGGTGTGATAACGGTTGGACTTGATCTTAAAGGTCTTTTCCAACCATAACTGTTCTGTGATTCTAAATGTATGAAAATGCAAGCGAAATTAATGGGAAACTCCACGTTTTCTCTGGTTTTGTACATTAACTGTTGGATCTCTGTAGCAAATTCCCGTTCACAGGAGATCCTGGGCTTTCTGAGGCTTCAGCCGAGCTGGCCGTGAAGATGCGGCTCCGGATGCAGAATTGGGCTTCCAGAGCTTGGGTGATGGGAAAGATGCAGGGAAGGAGCACACGGAGCCAGCGTCCCCATCGTGTGGCTGCCAGAGGCGTTAGAGACCACCAAGGTGATCAGAACAGTCAGATTTGGCTGAATTTGCAGTAAAACGTCAGGTTTATAACAGCACTGCGCTGTGGCTGTGGTTGGAGCTGTCCTGCCTCAGCCCAGGGCTTGGTTCCCCCCAGCCCTGGGGCTGCACAGACCCTTTATCCCCATGGGCATCCCCAGCCCTGCTCCTCCTCTGCAATAAGACTCCTGCAACAGCAGCTGGAAATGAGGGGCTGAAATGTGGACTTAACCCCCCAGCAGCCAAATTACCGAAAGGTGAGAGGGTTACAGAAGCATCTTTGGGTTTTTTTCCTGAAATTTTGAGGGAGAACGGACAAAAGCCAGTTGGGGAAGGAAAATACCAGAGGGCAAGGGTTTTAGTCATTGTTTAACCTGAAAAATCAGTCGCAGGATGTATGCTGGAAACTATTTTTAAATCGTAGGACTTGCACAGACACAAGCCCTATTTTGCCACGCTTAAAATAGGTTAATAAAACCTAATAGCGACGGATACGAGGAATAAAGCAAAAGATGGGGATCTCTGCTGGGGTCTGGGTATGAAGGGGGCTGTGCTGGGGCCGTGGTCCCAGGGTGAATAAAACACTGCCTGTGTCCTGGGGTGAAGTACAACAAGTGCTTTTTAAATTGAATGGCTCCGTAGAAGCTACGCTTAGTGAGAAATGTGTTTTTCCAAAATAGCTGTTGTTTCTTGACGGGTGTTTGGCACCAAAAAACGGGTCCTTGGGGCATCCCTGGAGCATCCTCGGGGCAGGCAGCGGATTGAAGCGCCAAGGAGAAGAAAAGCCCGACTTCGCCCCGATTTTGTGTTTGTTTTTGTTGTTGCTTTAACCGAAGGGGCTGGAGAGCGGTAATTAAAGGCTCAGCGGCTCTAATTGGAATCGGTTTAAACTCCAGGTCAAAATCCCTTCTGGCACTTCCTCTGCCTAATAACCGGCAACAGAAATCAAACAAATCCGACCAGCTCCGGCTGCGGATCTGCACCCAGCAAAGGTCGTGGTGGCGATAAGGGAGCGCGGTGGCCACATTAACCGAAGGGGCTGGAGAGCGGTAATTAAAGGCTCAGCGGCTCTAATTGGAATCGGTTTAAACTCCAGGTCAAAATCCCTTCTGGCACTTCCTCTGCCTAATAACCGGCAACAGAAATCAAACAAATCCGACCAGCTCCGGCTGCGGATCTGCACCCAGCAAAGGTCGTGGTGGCGATAAGGGAGCGCGGTGGCCACAAACAGCCCTGCACTGGCCACTGACAGCCCCGGGGTGGCCACCAACACAGCCCCGTGGTGGCCCAACGGCCGAGCACGGCAGGGCTCAGCACCGCCATGCACTGATGCTGAGGGTCAAGTGATGGTGGGGCAGTCCCTGGTCTGTGTGATGGGTTGGACTGGTGCTGCTGGGCTGGGGCAGCTCGTGGGACGATGCTTGCAGCCGTTTCACCAAAAATCCCTGTTTAATTCGAGCGGATGGGGAAAATGAAGCACTGGGGGGGGGGTGGAGGGGGGGGGGGTT